TAATTAGTTCTTCTATCGATTTCCGACGTTATTTTGAAAAAATGTAATTACACAATTGAGAGGAGGTGTCATCCCCCCGGGGGGTGATGGCGCAACCCGAATTGTTTTCACTTTTAAACTTGAGGGTAAGATGAACCTAATTCCAAAATTTCATTCAATTCGGAGCACAGTAAAAAAATTCAGACCTAATACGCTCCGTTTACTGCACTATTTCAGCAGCAAATGGAACACCGATAGCTACATACGGTATGTTATCTTTAAAGCTAGATTTTGGACTTAGCAAAACCTTATCATGGAATTTCGTGATAGCAGAGGTGTCGCATCCTATTATTGGTGTAGATTTACTCACTTATTTCAATCTCGCGATTGATGTTAGAAAGCGTATATTAGTTGAAACCCCTGCAGATTCAGCGGATCCACTTCAATCGGAAAATAGAATAATACCTTCCGTTAAAATGATGCCAGCCACAATATACCCATATGATAAAATTTTAGAGAAATATCCAGACCTAACACGGCGACCTTGTAGAGACTATCGCAGATTAAATGCGCGGACTCAACCGGATAGGTACCCAGTTCGCCATATCCATGATTTTGCGCAAGCATTATGTGGTAAGGTGATATTTTCTACTATTGATTTAGTGAAAGCTTACAATCAAATCCCTGTAGCTCAGGAAGACATTGCAAAAACTGCAATCACTACGCCTTTTTAGTATAGAAGCCAGCAACGTTTTCAAAACAAGCATTTTAGTCAGGCTGGTTTTTTGGTATGTGGTCCTTGGTGCTCCCTTGGTTAGGGTAAGGGCCGTCTGGCAGCTGGAAGTGGTTGCGTTAATTAGTGCGCAGCCAATTTGTACAGCGCGATTTCAAAATTTTGAAAGCATTTTAGTCAGCCCAATTTTCGTTTTTTTGACTTCGAATAGGTTCACCAGACTCAAATTTTTTGTTGCCAGACATTTTGGGCGCTGCTAAATATGTGCCTGACGCCAATTTATTTATTAATTTTTTTAAAAATTCAAATCATTTTAGTCCGTCTGAAATTTTAGTATTATGTTCGTTAAGGGTCAAAACACGTAAAATTAATTTGCCAGACGTTTCTGCGGTTGTTAACCATGTCTGGCAAGCAAAAATGTCTGGCAATATGATACTAGTTTATAGCATTTTAGTCAGTCCAATTTTCATTTTTTGACTTGATATTTGATTTGATAGCTTGAATAAGTTATCCAGATTCACATTTTTGTTGCCAGACATGGGCGCTGCCAAATATGTGCCAGACGCCAATTAATTCATTAATTTTTTTTAAATTTCAAATCATTTTAGTCCGTCTGTAATTTTAATATTATGTTTATTAAGGGTCAAAAAACATAAAATTAATTTGCCAGACGTTTCTGCGGTTGTTAAGCATGTCTGGCAACGAAAAAAGTCTGGCAATATGATACTAGTAGACAGAGTGAGACAATCGCTAAATACATTGGCGCGAATGAAACAAAAAAACTATTATACTCGTAAGAGCGCTATTTAAAGTTAGTGCAATTTCAATAACATTTTCATAAAACAAATAAAATAAAGTTAAATAAAGACCTAATTAGAAAAGACAAAGAAATTGCATCATATTAGTCAATTTTTTAATTTTACTAGCTGTAAAAAATATGTTAATGATTCTAAAATATTGCTGTTAATATTTTGAAAAATTTGACTCGATGGTGGTTAAGTAACATCGTCAATTTCCTAAGAATATCACATATTTTAAGTTTTGCAATGAGAACTGACAATAATCATTTTGCTGTACGCAATTTTTTTTTATCACTAAGTTAACTGAGTCGAATGACTTCATTTTACATGATACATGTAATATTATTGGTACATGTACATATTACATGGCTTTAGCAGCAACTAATTGTAACACATACCTATACTTAATACTGATAATACTAGTTTTGCTACCTTACCAGTTTGAGCTACCCCTAGAATAGAATCTTAAAATTCTAGTATATATATATAATATATATAATATATATAATATATATTGTACAGCAAACATTCTCCGCCCTTTTTTCTTTCAGCTTTTAGCTGTAAATTGAGCACTGTTTTTTAAAAATCGAAGTGTATTTAATAATTCAAAAATTCAAATGGGTTCATTTTAGATCAATATGTATCACTATATAATGATAGTCATTCGACCTAGGTCTCTTAAATCAAGATTATAATTGGGAATATCGTTTTTTTTAACAACGAATAAAAACGTCTATTATACAGATTTATTCGTCTTATGGCTTAATATGATACCTGTTTAAGCACTGTGGATGTTATAACACGCCTCGCATTCATTTATACATAATTATTTCGATTAATTCCTTCAAAACAATCAGGTATGCAAACCTCCCACACTGGGACAATAATACTACAATGTGATATATCAAAAGACTCGTTAAACTCATCTATCCAAAACAAATCAATGGATTTTTATTTTTCACTCATAATTCACCTTCGATGATGTATTTATAAAGGCTGCATATTATGAGAAATATGAATTTTTTAACTTTCCAAATGACAATTTGTAAGAAACGGTGATTCTAAAGAAAAATGGTATAAACACAATTTTGCAGAGAAGTTTATAACAAACACATCTGTCTAATGTAGTTACTTGATTTTTCCTATGGTTTTCTGCCTAGTAAACGTATAGCGCTCTTACGAGTAAAATAGTTTTTTGTTTCATTCGCGCCAATGTATTTAGCGATTGTCTCACTCTGTCTACTAGTATCATATTGCCAGACTTTTTTCGTTGCCAAACATGCTTAACAACCGCAGAAACGTCTGGCAAATTAATTTTATGTTTCTTGACCCTTAATGAACATAATATTAAAATTACAGACGGGCTAAAATGATTTGAAATTTAAAAAAAATTAATGAATAAATTGGCGTCTTGCACATATTTGGCAGCGCCCAAAATGTCTGGCAACAAAAATGTGAATCTGGATAACTTATTTAGTTATCAAATCAAATATCAAGTCAAAAAATGAAAATTGGACTGACTAAAATGCTATAAACTAGTATCATATTGCCAGACATTTTTGCTTGCCAGACATGGTTAACAACCGCAGAAACGTCTGGCAAATTAATTTTACGTGTTTTTACCCTTAACGAACATAATACTAAAATTTCAGACGGACTAAAATGATTTGAATTTTTTAAAAAATTAATAAATAAATTGGCGTCTGGCACATATTTAGCAGCGCCCAAAATGTCTGGCAACAAAAAAATTGAATCTGGTGAACCTATTCGAAGTCAAAAAAACGAAATTTGGGCTGACCAAAATGCTTTCGAAATTTTGAAATCACGCTGTACAAATTGGCTGCGCACTAATTAACGCAACCACTTCCAGCTGCCAGACGGCCCTTACCCTAACCGAGAGAGCACCAAGGACCACATACCAAAAAACCAGCCTGACTAAAATGCTTGCTCGAAAACGTTGCTGGCTTCCGTACTATTTCGGGCTATTCGAATTTCCGTTTATGACCTTTGGCTTACGCAATACAGCGCAAACTTTTCAGCGGTTCATGGATGAAATTTTGCGAAATTTGGACTTCTGTTATGCATACATCGATGATATAGTGGTTGCATCGGAATCGCAGGAACAGCATATGCAACATTTACATATTGTATTCAAGAAGTTGCAAGAATTCTGTGTTGTAGTCAATCCAGCAAAATGTGTCTTCTATACAAAATTACGAAAGGCCTAAGGCGGTACAACAGTTACGTCAATTTTTAGGTATGTTAAATTTTTACCGACGTTTCATTCCGAAAGCCGCAGAAGTACAAGAGCCGTTAACCAACAAGTTGTGTGGTAATGCGAAGAAGAATGCTGTATTGAATTGGGATTCAAATATGGAGAAAGCGTTTGAAAAGTGTAAAAAGAGTTTAGCAGAAGCAACGTTATTGATGCACCCGCGTTTAAACGCTCCTTTAGCAATAGCTTGTGATGCTTCCGACCACACTGTAGGAGCGGCGTTGCAGCAACAAATTTATGGTGAATGGAGCTCATTAGCTTTTTTCTCGAATGCAACAGAAAGAAAATATTCGACTTACGATAGAGAACTTCTTACAATTTACGACGCTGTAAAATTTTTTAGGCATATGGTAGAGGGAAGAGAATTTGTGATATACACTGATCATAAACCTATCACTTACGCGTTTAAAAAGAAAGATAGCCAGTGTACGCCGAGACAGTTTCGCTACCTTGATTTTGTTAGTCAATTTTCGACCGACGTCAGACATATATCGGGTCAAGATAACGTGATAGCAGATGCTTTACCCCATATAGAGATAGTTAACAAAGGTGATCTAGATTTCAAGACGAATGCAGATGAACAACAAAAGGATGTAGACGTAGCACAACTCTTATTAAATTCCGACCATTATCTTAAATTAAAAAGAATTTTTATAGAAGAATTGGGAACATTGCTATTGTGCAATGTATCTCAATCCGTACGTATAAACGAATGCTTTAAAATGGCTGTACGGATCAACCAATCATTCGGCCGATGATACCAAAAAGATTTCGCCGTGCTATATTCAATAGTCTACATGGTTTGTCGCATCCTAGACCAAATGCTACAATTAGATTGATATGGCAACATTATGTATGGCCTTCCATTAAAAAAGATTGTCGATAATGGGCTCGCAGCTGCCTAGATTGCTAGCGCTCAAAAAGTAGTCGACACATTGTCTCAAGTCCTGTAGTATTCTCATTGCCAGGAGCACGATTCGAGAATGTACACGTCGACATCGTTATTATGCCGTTATCAGATGGATTTCGTTATTGTCTAACATGCGTAGATCATTTTTCACGTTGGCCTTAAGCAATCTATAGAAAATCAGGAAGCAGCTACAGTGGCAAAAGCATTCTTTTCAAACAGGATAGCGAGATTCGGAGCTCCACTAAGAGTTACATCAGATCAGGGTTATATGAATCGTGTTTATTTGATCAGCTCAACTGATTAATGGAAACTACATATTTTAGGACAACTGCTTATCGCCCGGCTGCTAACGGTATGGTCGTAAGATATCATCGACAATTAAAAGCCGCAATAAGATGTCATAACACTGAGCGCTGGACTGAGATATTACCGACAGTCATTCTTGGTATTCGATCAGCATGGAAAGATCTTCAAGCGACTGTCGCTGAGATGTTATATGGCGAGAGTCTAAGATTACCGGGTACCATGCTGGTATCAACCCAAGAGACCAGTCATAGTGAGTCCGATTTTGTAAAAAATCTTAGAAAGCAGATGAGAATGGTTAGGCCTGTGACTGGCACAAGGCATGGGGAAAAACCAAACTTTAGGTTCAAAGAGATGGAAAATACAAATTATGTATTTCTTCTATTATTGATGGAACAAAAAGACCTCTGCAGAATCCTTATGAAGGCCCATTTGAAGTTTTATCACGATCCTCAAAAACTTTCAATTTGATGATACGTGGTAAAAATGTCACTGTATCAGTAGATCGGATTAAACCAGCCTATGAAATAGCGGTGAAAACAAACCATTGAGATGTTTCCAATCACCCACAAATAGTTCCTTCGTGACAACGTCACTGGGAGGGAGAATATGTGGGAGATTGGCAGGTCGCGTCAAATTTAGTAAGCGGCGTAAAAAAATAAAATGAGGGTTGAGTTTTGTTTGACGGGATGTTTTTGCAATGAGAAAATTTGTACAAATAAATTTATAAAATTTATCACTGCATTAAAGGTTAAATTTTATTATACTCATTTTGATTTTATATGAGGTTTTTATTTAATTCTCAAGTGACCATTTGTTTGCTCACTGCCTTTTGTATTCATTTTTGACACATACTATTTATTTCAAACGCTGTGCTGTGAAAGTACTTATTGGTTTAATGTGAATAATGTGTTACCAAAACATTTTATGAATTATTATTGCATTTAGGTTATTCAAATTGAGATCCTAAATTTGGAATTCATCGAAGGGGTCACCATAGACATTTTTGCCTAATCACTTATTGTGAGTTAAAATAGACAGCGATATGAATAAGAAAATTAGATTATAACACAGATAGTAATTTTGGAAATCATATTCATAAAAATTTCAAATATGTGTACATACAAATATAAGATCTTCGAAAACAAAGTTGTTTGAAAATTGCTTATAAAGAGCTCACATTATGTCATGTGACATCCACAAAAGTACAGTTTTGATAGATATGGAAGTAATCATTTCAAATATATACAGTACAATCTATTCACAATACAAATTCTTCATTACAATACTAATGAGTTTTGCAGTTATATGGTCCATGACATTTATATTTTTAGGGTTTGGCAAATGTCACAGTTCACAGAAGGCCACAAATACCACAGAAGATTGGAAAGTATCAGCAGTACGAACTTGCATTATATTACATGATTTTATCACTGCCACTGCTTGTACGTTGCCACTGCTTGTACGTTGCCACTGCTTGTAAGTTGCCATCCCTACTGGATTTTGACGTTCCAGCACTGACAATACCAAAATTCCAGCTATCATCGATGGCAAATACGTCATAACCAATTTCAGTTTAGTTTCGGTGCGAAAAGTCACAAGAACACAATTTTCACTGTACAAAGTTTAGAATATAAAAAAAATCGAAAAAAAACAACATAATTTTTGTTCTTTCTCGAAAAATGCTCAAACCAATTTGGAAAACTAAGGTAAATATATGTGCTGGCACCGAAATTCAATGAATTTTTAAAATCTGAAGTCATTTCCGAACAAACAATGATTAGTGAAATTTTTTCGATGCAGTCCAAAATGGCGTTGAAAATGTAAGTTGCCATCATTTTTGGCTTGTAAGTTGCCACCCCACTATTTTCATTGTTTCGTCGTGCTATCTCATTTATATGACTTTTTAATTGTATGGAATCGTCATTCAAACTAAATTGAATTGTTTTTAGTGCATTTTTATACCATTTTTGAATATATTTCTTTCAATGTTTATAATAAAAATTTATTTTTAGTATGGCTGCACGTCGACCAAGAAAAACCGATTTTGATGTAACCGATATTGATGCATTGATGCACTTGTTTCTATCAAAGCCGTCGTCATCAACAAAAAATCAAAGAAAAGCACCGCAAAATAAATAATCTAAGATCAGCATGCGTAGTTTTTCTCGTTATCTCGATAAATTCAATGCAGAAGTACCCGATATTTAATAATAATATTAAATGATGTTGTTGACGATGAATAATTGATGAATTGTTGCTCGAGTGTTTACGTTTGTCCGAATTGCGACTCTGATGATGACGACGAGAAGGAAAATGATGAATAATTTAATTTTTGATGTCATTTTTTTTTCAATTCGTTGTTCAAAGCTATTTATTTAAATTTTTCATGCTCTTTTTCAATTCATTTTAACGCTCATTTAATTTCCAATCAATAAATTTTCATAAATTTTGTCAATTATGCGTTTGTACTTCAGTTATCTCGAATTTTCAGCGATTTTTGCAGGGGTGGCAACTTACAAGCCTTTTTTTGGCGGGGTCATTTTCGAGATCTTTTGAAAATCGGCTGTAAAATTTTCATTTTCACATAACTCAAACGATCTGATGCAATGGATTAAAGCTTTTGAGGTCCTCTTTCCAACGGTATATTCACATCAAAGATATGTGTACTCAATGTCGAGATATAAGCATGAAAGCGATGGGGTGGCAACTTACAAGCCTTTTCCCTACCTAATATAATAATTTAGTTTTCAAACGGGATTTATAATATAGTTGTGATGTTTATCCGGTGCATTCACAACTATCATTTTCCACATTTCTTTTGAATTCATAACTGCCCAATTATTAAATTTGCTAGATTTTAATATTTTGTATCTAAAATGTGATTTGTAATGTTTTTAAAATTTCGTACTATATATAAAATGTTTTCAGTAATAATAATATCTAAATTACATTTTTCTTAATAATAATTCGATATACATTATTACTTAAGTTCATATCTTAAGTGAATTAATTGGTCAAATGTCAGTTCATATGTGCACTACTCTATCTATGATCAACGAAATTAGAGCAGTAAACGAAGAAAAAAAGGGTGTAACCTGTGAACTTTTTACAGTGCTCCAATTTGAATGATACTTTGGAAACTCTTGATCCAAGTTAATTCTAGATGAAATGCGATTAATTGTAATGTTGATGGGAATGGCACTCATAAAACTATTTGATTTATATAAAAAAAAAACACACCCTTAACAGTACTAATTTTAAAGCTTATATTGAGCACTATAAAACCCCCATGGAATATATAAAATGTACCACCTCGCCGCTAGACGGCTTCAAATACAACAATTAAATTTTAAACGAAATAAAAAAAACGACTTTGCTTTTTCATATCTATCAATACTGTTGACGCATGTTGAATTTATTTTATATTTTTTCAATTTTTGGCACATCTCAGCTGCTTTTCGGCAATAATAATCTGGACATTACATTTTTCTTGTTCATAAACATGAATATATTATATTTTAATATTGTCTTAGACTATAAGTGAATTGAAATGTTTGGCAGATACAGTCTTCATTTGTTTCAATAACAATAATATGCGTTTTTTGTATCTTTATCCATTTATTTTTACAATCTTACTAAATTTCTTTGATTCAAAAAATCCTGAAAAAATTCCTTAACAAACTTCAGAAAGATTTATCGAAATCCGAATAATCGTTTAGCAGGATTAAAGAAGAATTTTATATATCAGATATATATATTTATTTTTAGTTTCCACTGAATGAAGGCTAGGATTATAGCCGAAAC